GATACAGGTCAGCACATACTTCCAGTCTTAAATTTTAAATCCCTCCAATAAGCACAATATACAAGTTACAACTATAATAATTTTTTAGTGTGTGCGAGATAATAAATTACTGTTTTAATATGTCTTTTGCTATTAACATGTAGTGCTTCACCTTTCTGGGTCTTCGTTTTGTCATCTGCTAAATGGGGGTAACAGTCATCCACCGCATGAAATTGTTGAGGATGGAATGAGCCTGTACATGTGACGTGCTTAGAATCGTGCCCAGCGCATGGCAAGTGCTGGGGACTGTCTCTTGACGGTGGTTGCCTAGCGCACTGTGCTAAGGAAGCTTGCCCTGTGTCTGGTCTCAGTAGCAAAGGGAGAAATATATTTTAGAAATCTTTGGTTAGCAATATTTATTATGCGAGTGGAAGGCAATAGCGCATTTTTGCATTTTTATCATCATTGCAGTAAAGTATTAGGAGCTATTAACAGCTTCTTGTTCTGGGAAGCCTTATCATATAGAAGAGCTATAGGGTAATGAATTCGTTAGGTAGGAAGACTAGCTTTGAGTTTCGTATAACGCGGATTTGAGTGGGAAGAATGAAAAAGCGTGAATTCTGAGAAATGTTAAGGCTTGAGTCACCTTTTCCCCCTTTGTTCAGCATGAATTCCATTTCTTTTTCCTTTTTGTGATTTGGGCCCATTTGGCTTGAGGAGATCATTTAACTGATTCATATAGTGGACATTTTTAGTAAATGCTCATTGATGAGCAAGGCATTGTTCTAGTTGCTGAAGATGCACAGATGAAGAGTGCGTTTTTCTGTTGGCCACCTGCCTGTAGTCTGTTAGTGGAGGAAGGCCTGTTAACAAGGAATTAAAGGATGTGATATGATCTGTTGTTGAGAAGCGTAGTAGACACTGTGGGACAGTAGCATAAGAAGCATGTGGGTCTGCGCACAGGGGTCAGGTAAGGCCAGAGGAGTCGGTTTCATCAAAGGCAATTTACTTTTCATCTGTTGTCACCTCTCACTGGGAGGCACTCTGCTGGATTAGCAGCTTTCAGGATGTTTGTAATTAACATAGCACATTTTAAAAACATAGGGCTCCTAATATGCTCCAAAAACTTGTGCTGTTTTGTTAACTTAGGTTTTTAACATTTTCCAGCTTTTATACGATATTGTTAGTTCTAGGAGAAGCTATTGTTAGTCACCCATAGAGCCACCGAGTTTTCATTGTCCACAGAACGCAGCTTATATGAGGGAAGGCCTGTCCTTGAGGTAGAGGCTCCTTTCAGAATGACAGATGTCATTGTTTGGACCACTAACAAAAGTCTTTTATAGGCACAGGTTCTTGTGGGTAGAGAATAGGTGACTCAAACATATTGCTCACTTACTCTACCAGCCAGCATTTAAGTGCAGGTTTTCCTAGGTCTCCGAAAGTTAAGTCTTCTATGGAACCTTTTGTAAGCCTAAATGGAGTAAAGCAAAGAAGCAGTTACCATGAATTTATATGGAATTTTTTTTGAGTGTTCCCAGACCCCCAGAATAACCTAACAAATCATCCCAAATACCACATGAAACCTAAAATAACACTAACATGCAGTAAAAGCAGGAATGATATGATAAATACACACTACACTTGATACACCCATGTCTTCACTCAAACAATAGACTTTCCATTTTATCCACTACTGGATTCCGACCAAAAGAGACCACTTTGCGACTAGCAGAACCAGTCGTATCTTTGGAGCTGTCAGCAGCCTTTCTTCCTGCATGCACGTGGTACCATTGATGGTCGCAGGCAAGTTCAGTGCAGGGCCGGCGTCTTTATTTCATTCACCACGATTGAAACACGCAATTGATAGAGGATCCTGGTGTGTTCCTGGGATGGTGATCTCGCAGTCCCTGAAGAATGGAACGAGGATGGAAGACGCAAGGTTTAAGCAGCACAGTTTTATTGTAAAGCACAAGAGAAAAGTCTCCGAAGAGAGGGGGGATCTGAAAGTGGAATGCTCCCCCTCCCCGCCGTGCCCCCCACCCCAGCTGGGCTGCGCTGGGAACTATAATGTCTCTGAGTCAGAGCTGATTGGCCCCCTGCACCCGGGCTGACAATTCTGGTGGGCTCTGCAGTTTGAATTTGTCTGTTAGCTATTCTAAAGTTATGTTCTTTGGCTTTTGTTATGGTCTCAGCTTTACTCCCCTCCCCGTGGCCATGTCCCTGACTGCCATGGTTTTTCTATCTCACAATTACAAGTCCAGTTTTATGCTAAGTGTAACATTCCCTTATGAGTTCTTTTAGGGTTTTCTGATACCTTAGGACATATCTTGCTAAAGGATGCACCGAATAAATTGGGATAAAGCACAGATGCTCACACAGTTCAAAGCTGTGTGGCCTCATGCTGAGCGCAGTTCCTGGGGCAGAGCTTGGCAGTGCCGAGGCGCCTCTCTAATAGCTCGCTGCCAAACAAACACCCAACACCATTTTCGCTTTTCACCTTTTTCCATAAAAGTGAAAATCTTCGCATTTCTTTTTGTTAGCGAACACAAGTACTATTGTAGGTCTTTCGTAAAAAGCAAGTGGCCAACTGCGAACTTTTGAAAAACAGGGATACCTGTGTGTTTACCATAGGCTTTTGTCAGAAGAGTAGAATTAATGTTACTTTGATTTCCAAATTACTTGATCAATTTGCAAAACACTGTTCTTTATTAATCAGCATTGATTTTTGTGCTTTGTATAAAGTGTGTCCTTTATTCCTTTATGATCAAATAGCTTTGCTTTTATTATAAAATCATCCAGATGAGTTCAGAGATCTCAGTGAGTTTCAAATCTTTCTTAATCATGATCCTATGTTAGCATTTCTGTCTCTGTCCCCTTCATTTCAAATCTATTCATTTAGGGCTAACTGTTTTGGTTTTGGTTGAGTAGTTGTCTTCTTTGCCATTTGTCTTTCTCTTTGATTGTTGACACTTCCTCTTTTATTTTAGGACACTTGACTTTTGGAGATTAAGGCCATTGCAAAAACTGATTTGCTAGGATTAATTATGCCTTTTTAATCTATGGAAGACACTTGAGTTTGAGACAGCTCTGTTTACCTTTTAGAAATTCTTTCTTGGTTTTATTCTGAAATAGACCACCTCTTAGAATAGGATGCAGAGACCAACTGCCTGTCACATCTCTCTGTACATTGGGCTCTAGAAAATGTGACAATTTCTATGCCGTGGGAACACATGAAATTGATATGAAGTGAGCCTCTTTTTTCTTAAATAACAAAATTTCCAGTATGTAATTCATCACGTGATGAAGCTTTTCTTATAGTTTAAGGAAGCACTATTTTAAAATTGTGAATTTGCCTTATCGTGGTTTTGTATACACCTGAATTCTACATTTCTCCTCTGCTATGTTCACAGACTAAAGGGATACCTCAAGTTTGGAGTACAGTAACAGAACCTTTTGCAGAAGGTAACAGTGAGGGCTGTCCACTTCTCAATGTGATGGACGCTCTAGAAAACGGCAGGCTTTCTTGAACGTCTTATTGTTCTTTCCTCCCTTTCCATACCTGTTGGGAATCAAGCCCATATGGATGCCTGGTCAATTTTGGTTTACGAATCATTGGTTTGGAAAAGGGTTGGGTAGGAGGACTCTGGTTGTAGTTCTGGATTTTAAAATTGATGTTATTGCAGGAGATTCACTATATTAATTTCTCCCTTAGGTGCATATTTTACTCCTTCTCTTTTGGATAAGGGAATTATTTATTGATAATGATATTCTCTTCAAGGATGGTCAGTTTTACAAAAATCTTTTTCTTTTTCTAACAAGTCTTATATTTTCTTTGATCACATTTTTTTCTATTCCATTGAATTATTTAGCAATTTAGAAAAAGCTGTAATAGAATAATATAAATTATAAATACAATGAAAGTAAGAATTTCAAAGATATTAGTTATTTCAATTTGAATATGAAGATGGCTTATTTCTAAGAATTCTAAACATTTTCATGATTCTGGAATATATACAACATGTGCATCATGTTACATATGTAAATTTATGGCTTAGCGTGAATGAATGACAAAAAATAGGATAAATCACATAGTATGTAATAATGTCTTATACTTTAAAATCTTCTCACTCTGGGTACTCTATTCATTTAGAGTACTAAATACAAATAAAGCTTATTGTCTAACTTTCTCATCTGGTTAAGGTGCTCTTCAATAAGAGGCTCTTAATAAGCATTCTTCTAACATTTGGCCAGTCTTCTGTTTCTCTTTGCATCAGTGTGAATTCTTCTAGGATGTTGAAAATGGTGGACCAATTAGATATTTTTGATTCACAGTATTTAAAATCAGCTTCTTATTATTAGTTTAAAATTAAGACTCCAGATTCGTCTGATAAAATGAAATGGCAAATGTCAATCTCGTTGAAGGAAATTTATTTCATCATCATTTTTTCCTTACCATGTAATCAGTTTTTAAAAGTATAAAACAAGTGTTTATCACTGTAAGATTATGACTGCTTAAGGGCTATGTTCTAAAACAAAATAACAATACACAGTTGTGCTTCATAAAGGTTTAATAGTTAAAGTCATATGGATTGATAGTTCACTAAGAGAAGGAAACAGGGAACAGTTCCTTGGGAATACTGGCAATAAGGCAAAAACAAACGATTAGCTAGTGAAATAAGTAATGGCAGTCAGAGACATGGGATCAGGAAGGTACAGTGTCTTAAAAGTTTAGAGAGGAGTTTTCAGGAAGTGAAGGATGGTTGTGTGGTAGAGGTGGTAGTGCACCATATTGCAAAGTATCTATCAGGAGCCCTCACGCAGAATGTTCTTTTTAGCTCTGTAATAAGAACAGATGTGCTCCTGAGAAGATGTGAGCCCTGTGACTGATTTTGTTTCCTTGTCTATTTTTTGTAGCTGTTTGTTATTCAGGAACTCATGTATATTTCAGTGCATACTCTTAGTTTCATTTTATTTCCCTGGTGCATTGACATCTTTTGTGTTTTATTCTCTTTATATTACAGGTGAACAACTGTAAATATAACCCTTGAACAACTTGGGGGTTAGGGATACCAACCCCCTGCCCAGTCAAAAATCCATGTATAACTTTTGACTCCCCTAAAACTTAACTAGTCATCCCTCATTGTCTTTCAGGGATTGGTTCCAGGACTCCCCACAAATACCATAATCTCAAGTCCCTTATGTAAAGTGGTACAGAACAGTGCATACAGTTAGCCCTCGCGTCCATGGATTCCTGACTGTGGAGCGAAAATACATACTCTTTTCCATTTATGGTTGGTTGAATCCACAGATGAGAAACTTGGGGATGTGGAGGACCGGCTGTATATTTATTGCAAAAAATACATGTGTGAATGGACCCACACAGTTCAAACCCATGTTGTTCAAGGGTCAACTGTGTATGAATCTTCGTAAGTCATTCTCTCTCTGTCTTTCAGTGGATGATAGAGAGAGGAGAGATGAAAAGTGACCAGTAGTTCTGATATAGAGAATATGACGTATTGGGTAAAAGCCATTAGATTTGGCAAGAAGAAAATCATTAACCTTCAGGAAATCAATTTAAACATTGGTACGGGGAACTGAGTCACGTACACACACAAAATAAGCCTTACGAAAGATTTAAGTGGACGCAACCCAAATGTTCATCAACAGATAAATAGATAAACAAAATGGGGGATACATACAGTGGAAAATTATTCAGCTTTGAAAGGGAAGAAAATTCTGAAATTATAACATGGATGAATCTGGAAGACATATGCTCAGTGAAATAAGACAATCACAAAAAGGCAAATACAGTATGATTCCACTTGTATGACATACCCAGAACAGTCAAAATCATAGAGACAGAAAGTAAAATAGTGGTTTATCAGGGACTGGGGGAGGGGAGTGGAGAGTTATTGTTTCATGGGTACAGCGTTTTAGTTTTGCAAGATGAAAACAGTTTTGGAGTTGGATGGTGGTGATGGTTGCATAATATGAATACTTAATACCTTTGAATATTGCACTTAAAAGATGGTTAAAATGGTGAATTTTATGTTGAGAGTATTTTGCCTTATTAAAAAAATAATTTAAGAGAATGAGTAGATAAGAAGTAGAAACAGTGGGTAACCTCCTATTGAAGGGATAAGCAAGAAAATGGAGGGGAATTGAAAGGTAGTTACAAATGGCTTGTATGATCAAGTAAAGGGTTTACTTAAGAACTGGTTGATCTGACTGTGCTTAAGAAAAAGGCAAGCATTCTAGTGAGTGCTTAAAAAGTTGAACACTTAAAAAGTTTTTTAATTCAGCAAGTACTTTGTTCAGAAAGTACTACTGCTATGTTTAAGTGTTGGTAATTGGGATTACATCTTATTACATCTTTCAATTCAATGTCCATATTTATTTTCTTCATGGATGATTTTGTTGTTTTATGGATTGAAGTATACTGTTAGGTAAATAAAAAGTGAATTAAAGCTAATACAGACAAGAAACTTGTTGCTAGATGGCACTGACTTACAGATGTGTCACTAACCATTTTCAAATCCTTCATAGAATTTATTTCCTATAAAGAATTCAAATGACAATTCTTGTAAAGCAATGTCTTGAACTTGTTGGAAGGGATGGAGGTGGGCTGGGAATAGGGGAAACGGGAGACTGAGTAATTAGAGAGGGAAGCCCAAGAAATTCTTTATCTTTTAAATTTGCTTGTGCATTTGTTTGGTTTCTGAATTATATATTGTAAGAATATAGAATTCTAACATCATTATTTTCCATGTTTTGACCAGTACCAAATATTTTGTGGCAGAATTTTAATGATAGTGCTACAGCTCTACTGCAATGAATAATAATAGGTTTCTGTGTACTAGCTGCATACCCACTGATCCAGAGCCTGTGACCTTAGCAAAGGTAAGTATGTCCCAGATTGCAGTGTGAGATAGTTGAAGACTGATCTGCTTTGGTAATTGTCTAAATTTCTCTCATCTGTTTTTAATGAGCATGCTCAATTGCATGAATGTGACCGTGACCTTAGCCTGCATTCTCTTTTAGATATGTAACTGGAAGCTTTTGAAAAAGGAAGGTTAAGTTTTAAGTTAGTGGTGGATATATGTTTTAGGACTGTGTCTAGGTTCTCTGAGTAGTTTTCAGGAATGCCCAAAAAAGTAATCACTCCAGTGTCTGATGGAACCTGCACTATATTAAACACTGAAGGCTGAATTTATCACAAAACTAAACGCTTAATAAGTCCCTGTGCATAACTGATTGTTCATCATGCTTTGTCGAGTGGCTTGAAATTGCAGTATACTATGTCTCTTTTTTTACTACATATCTTTATTTTAAAGTTTTCAACAATTTATGTGTTTTAATAAGTCTGTTTTTAGTGGCTGGAGATAGACTGAAATTACCTCAAATAATGGGAAATTTGTTGGTAAGATACTCTATCATCAATGATTTGATTAACTGCAAGTGACAAAATTCAGACTCACTTGCTCCATTTAGTCATTAGGTCATCAAAATTTTATTTAGTTCTTCCTGTGAGGTAGTCATTATATACTGGGTTTTGGAGACAGAGCATTGGGCAAAGTAGATGTCCTGCCCTCCTGAAGTTAACACTCTTCAGGAGATAGATAGTGAACAATGTGCACGTGTGCTTGTGGATATATACACATTCACATGACTGCTGGAACAGATAAATGATATGATAAAAATAAAGCAGGGTAACACACAGTCAGTGACCAGGAAGGGAAGGGCTGTTTAAGTAACGTAGTCAAGGAAGAACTCCCCAAAGACATGAGATTTGGTTACAGATGTAAGTGATGAGAGTGAGCCAAGGAAAGGCCTGGGTGAAGTATAGTTCAGGTTTAGGGATCAGCCAGGCTAAGGTCCTGAGGCTGGCATGACCTCCAAGTATTTGGGGGACTGTAAGAAGGCAGTATAGAGAATAAACGACAAGCAGCCAGCAAAAGGAAAAGAAAAAGAAGAAAAAAAGAAAGGCACTATAGCTAGAAGGTCATAAGGGATAGGGGTGGGGGGAGGGGTAGGAGACAATAAGATCAGTGAGAGAGATAGGACATCTCATAGGACCTTGTAGGGCCTATCAAAGCGTTTGGGATTTATTGTAAGTGTAATGTATGCGTATTGCAAGTCTAGCTTCATTTAGGAGTTTTGAGCAAAGTTAATGATGTGATTTATCTTTTGAAAAGATTATTGCAGTTACTGTATGGATAGTAGACTCTTGAGGAAGAGGGGCAGGAGTAGAGGAGGAAGGATTGTTAGGGCTCCTGTGGTGACCAGTGAGACGGAGGTAGCAGAGAGGTCTGATTTACGATGTAGTTTGAAGGAATAGCGGATAAGATTTGCTGTTGGGTTAGATTCAGAAAGTTGATGGGGGGTGGGGACAGGAATTAAGGATGATGCCTAGGTTTCATGCACCTGTGGTATTAAAATTTCTTGGAAATGGAGGTGATGGGGGAAAAAAGGCTGAACAGGCTGAGTTGCGAGGGCCGGGGGGAGGTGGCGGTCAATAATGGAAGAAAAAAGTTGAAAAATACAGAGATCATGTTGCAAAGAAGTACAGGACTTAATGCTGAGAGGTCAGAAAACAGGAGGAGCCAGCAAGAAGAAATGACCAGTTAGAGACGAGCTGAACCAGGAGAATGTAGGGTCCTGGAAGCTTGCGAAGGACATGTTTTAAGAAAGAGGGCACAGTTAATGTCCACAGCTCAAAAAGTTCCAATAAGATGACGAGACTCTCACCATTGCATTGGCAAAGTGGAGGGTGACGCTGTTGGTGAAAGCCATTGTGCTGTAGGGTGGAAGTGCAAGTCCTGTTGGAGTGGAGTAAAACCAAAGCCAAGACAGGAAATTTTGTTAACTTTCAAAAGGAGAAGAGAAATGGAGCTATGATACCTGAAGATAGGTTTGATGTGAAGGAAGTTTTTTATTTTCTAAGAGATGGAAGATTTTACAGTGTGTTTATATATTAATGAATGACCCAGTTGAGAATTCATTGATGTAGGAGAAAAATCCATCTTAATTAAAAAAAACCTGTCCTTATTTAATGGTAAGGTGTAGGTGTGTAGTCAGGGGCTAATCCACTCTGGTTATGTGTTTCTCTCTCTGTTCCTTTCTGGATTTTGATTGTATTTTTTTCCTGCTGCATTTCCTAGAGGCTAGCTCTGTGGCTACTGGAAGTTGTAGGCTTATATTTTCCCAGGATCATGACCAAAGAGAAATAGGAGTCTTTCCTGCCTACTCTAGTTAGAAAAAGTTCAGGAAGTAACTGGCTCAGGTTGTGTGGCCACACCGAGACCTGTCACTGGGACCTCCAGGATGGAATCCTGTGGCTGCTTCCTCCCCTGGCCCCCTCTCATGGGCGAGCATGAGTCTTCTCTCAGAAGAAGACAGAGCGAGAAGAGAAGGGGTACCTAGCAGACAAATAGCCACAACAGATTGATGAACAAGAGACACTAGACTTAGAGGAGAGTAGCGAGAAGAAAAGCTTACAAGACTACTCCGGATTCAGGGGTGGGTGGCCAGGGTCTAGCCGCGTGGCCGCATGATACACAGCTCTGTCTTCAGAAGAACTTGATATGTTCTTGACACTTGCAGTCCACAACTTTGGGACTGTAAATGGATTTTCCCCTGGACTTCTTTTGGTCCTACTCTGAATTTTATGATAATTGAGTATATTATTTTCCAAATATATGCCTTATTAAATCCCATTTTGGTATTTTAATGAAATGAGCTAATATAGCCCTCAATACTGGAATATGCTCTACCTTTCCCCTTTCCAAAATCTACCTGACTTACAGATTTTCATTACTGCGTGGCACTTTCTACTTTGACAAGGTGAAACCCTGACTGCATTCACCCAGGATCACCAGAGATGCCTATACTGTGTAAGAGGAACATAGGTGTTTTTAAAAGTATCTTTGGAGGAGCAGAAAAGTGGATTTGAGGTGGCAAAAACTAGATGCTGTCCATTCTGAATTAGTTTAGAAATCTCGAGAAAGAGATGTCCTCCAAATACCTGTAAA